GAGAGAGAGAGAGAGAGAGAGAGAGAGAGAGAGAGACTTACAGAACTATTATCGTTAAAATAACAGTAAAATCCAAACTCTTTATACTTCAAAAATATAATGCCTTTATTTTTGGCGTTTTCTAGAATAGAGAGAATCCAATACTTGTCGTTCACATCGACTACAAACTGTGGTAAAGTGTTGTTTGCAACGATCTCCTTAGGATTGGCCGGCTTTTCATAGTCAAACCAACGGTACGTACGGTTGACAGTGCCGTCGGGCGACTCCTTCTGGTCGATGAACAACACGTGATAATCACCAAAATAGCCAAAATTGGTATTGAAAGTGACCGTATTATCATCGATGCCATCGATTCGCAATTCACCCGAATCCATTGAGTAGATATTTTTCACAATGTATTTCTTCACAGAGAATCCATACCACGTGATCGGTTTGGGTTTGAGCTGAAGAGGAATAAAATGGTCACAGCATTAGTGGTGATTGTAATGAATGACACAAATGTTGTAAATGTATGTATACTGCGATAAAATAACGGCGAGAAGTAATGAATCCGATGAACGCAATTGTGTTGCGAACGTTATGCAGATTAAAACCCGAAGTGTCATAATTGGGTGACCAGAGTTGGCTCACGAGTTGGCCGTTGCGGTGGACAACACCCTTAAGATTGGCTGACAATTGCCACGAATACGAGCCCTTAAACACGTGATACTCGGATCCCAACCAATTTGAGTCTTTGACAAATATGGTGTCAATGAGTCCGTTGACTGTCTTGTGGCAGATGTCGGCGTTTAATACAAACTTGGTTTTGGTGGTCACCGGCTCTGTCATCAACTGATCCACTGATACTACTGTTAAGAAAGTTTAGGTCATTATTATAACAGTTTTGGAAAGTTTTTAGTTTTGTGTTAATACCGGCGAAGAATGCAATGATAATGTGTTTTGTGGTAAACATTGGGTGAAAAGTTGTTAAAATTTGTTAAATTGAGTTTAAATTGAGATAAAGTTTTAGATTTAATTATAATTGTTTTAAAACAACCGTTAGTTTTAAATTAACCGCATTTTGTATAACAATTTAAAGTTATAATTGTTTGACGTTTTTGATGGCGATTTCAAACAATGATTAATGCAATGAAAGTGTAAACAGTTGTTAACAATGGGTTTGAGTCAAAGTGTTTGACTATAAATAACGTTAGCATTGATTAAGAGATAAGAGATTGAAATGACTTCTCAATTATTGACCACTTTTTTGACAATCAATTCATTAATTGATTATTAATTAACACTTTAAACACATTTTCCACACAACAACTCACGCGTCACTCAAGACATCACTCCAACTGATCCACAAGAATGACAACGAATCCCATATTAGTGGCGATATCACTGAACACGTTGTGTCCAGAAGTGGAGGATTATTGGCTGCCAATACCACCGACAGTGCAGACCATCGATGATCTCAAACGCCATATACTGACCACTGAATCAAACGGTCGATCAATCGGTGAATTCCCCGATGATATCGGTCTGTATCTCGAAAGTGCTTTACTTCGGGACAACACATCCATCGACTGTCTTCGAGACAGAGATTATATTGAAATCCGTGCGAAACCTGTGGCCAAACGAAGGATCAGCGCTTCGGCGGACAACACCTCTGACCACAAGAGACACAAAAATTCTGCTCCTGAGTGGTAAGTGTGGAGGCATTGAGATACTCAACATGTGTTCAATCACTGCATTTGTTCCCATCTATTCTTAGCGTAACTATCGATGAATCAGATGAAGAGTCCGTTGGCAACGGTTCCGCAAAGACAACCGGGTTTACGGCCGAAGACTTTGTCAAACGCCCGGAGAGTCACTCATTTGGTCCGATTGATAGTCAATTGCAAGTAAATGGTGGGCGCAGTCCATCAGTAGATTCCTCGGCATCTTTTGCCACCAATTAGTGAGCATTTGATTCAATGATAAACTCCCATAACTATGATTATAGCAATCACTGTCTTTTGTGTGTCAATAGTTCCGTCATTACATCGACGGCACAATTGGCCGACAAAGTGGTCGCAAAAGCGGACACTGAATTGCAAAGCGATGCCTTCACCCGATTTAGGAGCCCTTTTAACGACACGTCCACCGGTAGTCAATTGTTTAGCCAACCCGTGGCCAGTGATTGCCGGTCAGCACCGCATTCCTCCACACCATTGCCGGCCAATTGGTGAGCATTTTAATGATAATAAAGTACTGTTAGCTATACTGATGACCAGTTTGTGGCCAATAGTTGGCGGTAAGGTTTACTCGTGTTGACAAAAATGGTCACACAATTGGGTGACCCGTCTGTCTGTTTGACACCACATCCCGAAGAGTTGCCGCACAAGCCATGCATTTTCTGCCCATACAATGGCTGTCGGTTTGCCGACTATTAATAGACACATCAAAATTGATCGCTAATTAAATTAGTGGTCAATTGTATGGATGTGCTCTTGTCTTCAGATATTCTTCCACTTCTATTATAATTTTTAAAAAAAACTTTAAAACATTTCAATTATACAAACTATTGGCAAAAATGTTTTGTTAATTTTATAAACATTTCAACTTTTCGTATTAAATAGTTATTAAACTATTTATTTAAATAATTTACAAATTATTATTTTTAAAATGCAATATTTAGGCCACAGTTTCGCTACACGACACCATTGGCGCTGTCGAAGCGTGACAGCCAATGGCGTGACTTGACTGCCGGTTGGTCCAGACGTGAACCACTATTTACGGCCAGCATTAAAACCATCGATGATCTCACGGGACATAGACTGACAAATGAATGCGTCGACAAAAACATCGATAACAGCGACCACTATCTGCCCGCTAACTCTTCGGCGGACAATACCTATCCCGCAACACATGAGTGGTAAGTGTTTTGGATTATAAGATTGCAATTATCACTGCATTTGTTCCCACATTTACAGCATTACTGTCGAGGATTCGTACGACGAATCAATGAGTGGCCGATCAGGTGGTAAAACAATCGTTGATAAGGACACCATAACTGTTGATGAATCGGATGACCCGTCCGTTGTCTTGACTCTTGAAATATCGCCCATTCTATCCGGCATTACATCCGCAGAAGAGTTGAGACTTCAGTATTTACACCGACGACAAGACAAGTGCCCATCGGATCCAATCGGTGGCCAAACACAAGCCAATAGTGATTGCCAGCTATCGACACATTCCTCGACATCGGTTGCCAACACTTTGACCATTGAATCGGATGGAAAACACGAAACAGGCGTCGAAAGTGATGACAAATCAGTGGACAACAAATCCGAAGATATAGCGACAAAGAATGTGGTACTAGAGAGCGAATCCAACGGTTCCGGCGACTGTCCGCCCAATACTACGGCCAGTAAATTGTCGGCAGAAGTGGTCACACAATCGGGCGATGAATGTGACACCAAAAGCGTTGCTATGGAAACAATCGCACCCGAAGTCGGTTTGCAACCCATACCAGCGCCTGTCGGCGGTCAGAGCGATGATAATGGCCAGAGTGTGGACTCACTGCCGATGGCTATTCCCAAACTTATAGAGTGATTATAAAAATTGAATTGTTATTCAAATTAATGTATTTCTATTATAATTATTGATTTAATTAAATGCATGGTTATTATGTTTAATGATAATTGACAATATATAATACATCCCAATGAGTACCCGTTCATACCGTGGATCAGGTGTACGCACAATGGCTGCCGGTTTGCCGTTAAACGTCATTCAGATATGAATGAGCACTTGTGATGAGTGTTTTGAATTAGTGGTCAATTGTATGGATGCGCTCTAGTCTTCAAATATTCTTCCACTTCTATTTTATGTCCGAAATTTTGTGTCAAAATTTTTCAAATTATTAGCAAATTTTGTTAAATTGGAGTTTTTTTTGCAAATATTTTGGTGTTTTTATAAGTTTTACTGATTTATGCTTTATTTGTGAGAAAATTGTGAATTTTATAAAACATTATTTTGTCATTCAATGTGTAGTGAAAGCCATTCATCGGCCGCCGCCTCCGCCGCCACCGCCTCCTCCGGAACCGAAGATACGTTTGGCCGCCGTCTCGACCGAGGAATAGGCGCCGAAGTGTTTGAGCAGCGGTTCACTGAATCGGATCAGCTCTACGGCACAGACGACCGCCGCGAAGCTGATGAGCACCAGAAGCTTGAATAGGAGATAATACTTGTCGTAGCCGTAGAACATCGACCTGAAGAATATGACCGCAAATGTCTTCACGGCGTACACCGCGGCGTACAGTACGAAACGCTCCTCCAAGTGGTGGGCCTTCACGTACTCGACGGCCACTTCCCGAGCTTTGTTCACGTGTTCCATGTCTTCGGCTGTTGTCGTTGTCGTTGTTGTTGTCGACGGATCCGATGGTTACGCCGAGTGATTGCCGTCTATACTATGGCTAACAGTAAAGCTATTGACAACTGAATTGAGTTTTGAAATTCACTTTTGAATAATTAATTGAATTTTTAAATTAATTGTTGTTTTTCGTGAGAATTAATTACTCTTTAAATTCATAGCCTTTTGGCCACAAATTCATATCTCAAGACATCACTCGCGCACCAGAAGAATGCCATCGAATTCAATGTCTATATTGGTGTCGATAAATTGTCCCATGAGTGTGGACCCATTCCTCCACTTCTGATTGTGGTAATGATGTTGATTGTTAATTGAATTTAATTGTCTTTTTGAAGTTTTAATTGCAATAAAAATGCTTTGATTTTTAATAATTTTAATCATATTTCGTTGAATTGTTTGTGAGCCACGGATCAGTTTAATTATGGGTAATAGTTATCATTGGCAGTAATGATGGTAATAAATTTGATCCAGTTTAAATTTAGCGCCAATTACTTGATCTAAAACATCAAATATAGGGGTAATTGTTTGACACGTTTTTGATTGACATTTCAAACAATGATTACTGCAGTGAAGGCCGCGAAACAGTTGTCAACAATGGGTTTGACTATAAATAACGTTAGCATTGATTACATGAGACGTGAAATTCAAATGTCATACGAATTGTTGACACTTTTGTTGACAACAATCCCATTGAACGACATCTGCACTCAAGACATCACTCCAACTGATCCACAAGAATGACAACTAATCCCATATTAGTGTTGATATCGTTAAAGACATTGCGTCCAGAAGTGGAGGACTACTGGCTGTCCATACCATCTGTGCTGAAGACGATCGACGCTCTGAAGCTGTATGTCATGACCAATGAGTCCATCGACAGCTGCGGCGCCGACGCCGACGATATCGGTCTGTATCTCAACAGTGGTTTACTTCGCGACAACACATCCATCGACGGTGTCCTCCGAGACAGGGATCGCA